TGTATGTATTTGTAGTTTACTGAGGAGCTTAAATAGCTTTGCACCTTTGCTGTCCTTTTTGTTCTTACCCTTTTATCCTGTCTTTCTGCAGTCAATCATCTCCAGAAGCAAGGAGTTTGGTTTTTTCCACTCACCAGTAGAAATAAACAGTTTAGGGCCAAGATGAGTTTCCTGAGAGAGACCTGTAGGAAAACAACTTTCTGGTGATTTCCTATTCACAATTCCCAGTTAGAGACCTATTGTCTGGTTACTTTTTTAATCCATTTAATGTGTGCCATGTTAATTTTGGTTTAGTCAATTAATAAGCAGTACCAAATAGAGTGCTTTATAGAAGACCAAGTGTATCAATGCTATTAAATCGATGTTCTCAAAATTTGTAAGTCAAACTTATAACTTCATCAAGAACGATGTCAGTTTCGTTTGACAGAATCTGTTTTCCATAGACCTAATTTGATGGACATTGATTTTATTACCCTGCTCTAATTCTTTATTATTAAAGTGCAGTATCAAGTATTCTGTAATTTTGCCTTGCTCAATGTTGGACTGATGGACCTGTAATTACTTGGGTCATCCAGTCTTCCCTTCTTGATTTTCAGTGCAAAATTCTTCCCACCAGGCTCCTGGAATTTGTTCAGTGCTGTAAGAATTACTGAAAGTCACAAGAGAACCATTCCCCCCCCCCCCCTTTTTTTGTTTTTGAAATCTATTCTGTGCAAGTAATCCAGATCATCTCATTTAAACAGTATAATTTTAGGAGCTCCTGTTTAACATCCACCTGGGTTGCTAGTTAGTACTTCATACAGCTTCTTCAGGTGTGCATAACACATCTGTTTCTCTGTGCTGTTACTATCTGCTGATGAGTCAGCATGAGTGTTAAGGGATCTCTTTTTCCATAATCTAAAGAAAAAAGCTTTTCTTATTCTGACCTTTTCTAGCCAGAGATTTCTTTTGGGTGGTTTGTTTTTGTCTGTTTCTGTTTCCTATGACTTTTCTGTTCTAACTACATTGGTTTCTATTTGTTTTCCCTTTATCTCTTAATTTAAATATGGAATTGGCCTAAGCAGACTGGCTTAAAAGGGAAGCAAAGACAGGTACAGGTCTTTAACTGGCACCACATTTTTCATAATTGCAGGGTGTATGATAAATGTTATAAGTAGGGTTTATTGATTTTTCTTTGTCATGGTTTGTTTTAATCTTCATGATTTTTCAGCTCTGAAATGGAGACTTCTAAAATACAAAATAAGTACATTACTAGCTTGGGCTTGGCTTTGTATGTGGGGTTTTAAGACTGTCAAGTCCTTGATAATTTTTTTGCCCTGTTACTGCTCTTTCAGACATATTGTTTGAGATCATAGGAGGTCCACTACATGTTTTCTGCAAGCTAGATAAAACACTCAGAAAGAGCAATGGTAACAGTGATATAACAAGGTGTTGTTTTAGGATCATCTAGAAATATCTCTTGCCTGCCCTACTGAATCACAGCATGTGATGAACTATTGGAATCCAAATCACAGAAAATATTTACTATTTACAGTACTGTTCCTGGGAAGTGTAGCATGGGAATGAACTTCAGTGTCTGTGTGGGATCCCACTGAGAGGTCCAGCTGCTTGCTTAGCGCTGCCAGATTGCGTCCAAAGAAATGTTACCCTTTTTGAGTACATGCAATAAGAGTACATGAGGAGAAAAAAACCCAAGAAGTTCATACTGCTTTACTGTATTCTGCAACAAATCCTTCTCTTCTTTCTCCGCCAGTAAGAATTTTTAGTCTTCATATCTAGAGTCTGTGTTTTGTCTAACATAAGGTGTATTACTCTTGAGAGTAATTTGGAAATAATATTTTTACCTGCACATATAATTTTTTTGGTGTCTTAGCTGTAAATGTTTATCACACTAAAACTTTATGATATCTGCCAGCAGTTGTAAAGCTTTTCACAAGTTTTTTGGGGGGGTTATTTTCTTTTCAGTTTTTTGAGTTACTGAGGCAGGGGCAGTCTGTCTTCATTAAGTGACAGTGTTTAGGGGAGATGCTTGAAAATACCAAGTATACCCCTGAAATGGCAAGCTCTTAACTGAAAAATTTTCTCCTTTCAGCTTCACTGGTACAGAGTGAGGTGTATGGCAGAAAGCAGCAACGGGAATTTGCTGATTGAAACAACTGCACCATGATTTCGGTGGGCTGCAGAGGGTGTGGGGTTTAAGATTTTTTTTTTTAAGATGAAAGAAGTTTTTCTTGAATTAACAGAAATTCAGTGCTCAGAACGCTGAGTAGACCCACCCTTTTTTGTGAGAATATGGTACAGCCAATATAGCAATTAACATATTTGATACGAAATCATAACCAGTAGCATGTGAGTAACAGGCCTTAAATTACATTAAAAGTTTTATATATTTCCTGATGTTCAGGAGTATATATGAACAAGAAGAAATCATATTTCTATTATCTTAAGCAAAATTGTATGACAATGTGATTGTTTTCTTTAAGCCAGGTTCTGCAGGCAGGCACACATGCAGACAGTTTTGTGTTGGTACTCCTTATCCTTCACCTTTGAGAAAATACTTGTTTATGGTTTCAGTTGGTATGAGATCAGAGATGATGATATCTAAATAACTTGAATAATGTTACTGGAGAATGCCAAGGAAAGGAGTGAATGGTCTAGGAATTTTTCGTATAGTTCTTTTCTTGTATTGGCAGTATTTCCCTTCCCCTAGAGCTTGTGTTGTCTGTGGGTTTCTTATCCATGGTCTCTTCTGTGCAGAAGTATTTACAGAAGTGATAATGTTCCTGTGAGGGATTATTAAAAATCATTGTATATATTGTAGAGATGGGTCAGGCCATGTACCTTGAGAATGACAGTGGCTGGAAGCCTGTGTTCAGACAAACTGACATAAATCCCAGGGCCTTGTCAGCTACGCCTGGTATCTACGTACCTCTGAAGGTCAATAGATAGTTATTGGGAAAAGTAGGGACACAAACTTGTGTTATTCAAGCCCTGATCCCTGCATATCCCTTCCTTAAAAGAGGTTAGTTTTCTAGAGAAGGGCTTCATTCTGCCTGGAACTGTTTAGGGTTAAATATGTTAACGATTTGGTATGTTCAGAGGCACAGGGATTGGGTCTGTATAAAATATCTCTGGTGGACAAGAAGAGGAAGGCATGACATGGAAAGTATCTTTAACATATTTCTGCTCCAGGCTTTGTGTTCTGTCAGACTTCAGCTTGTTCTTCGTTAATGTTGTGTAACTTGGGTAAGAATATTTATGTTGAGATTTAATTCAGCTCTCCAGGAAAAACTGCGTATGTTTTTATACTTCTTTCTGAAGTTAAATTGATTGGATGGAATTGTTCCCTGGATATATTGTAGATAAAAACAACCATTTCTTATCCTTACGCCTGCATGTGGGCATTTTAGGCATGAACTGCCATGTTTCCATGGATTTTTAAGGTCTTCCGTTGCATAGTTAGCAGCTTTTAATGCTTTGATCTAATTTTGTAAGACAGAAGCACTCCCTGTATTTGTGTTACAGCAAATGCTGTATTTTTTGGTGGCGTCTGACTTTGAGAAACACACAGATGCTTTTTTGTAGTCCAGGAGACAAAGAAACAAAGCTTTGTGCTTGGGAGGCAGCATCCGTGCCTCAGGGGTACATCAAGGCACTTGGTGTGCAGCTGCTTTCCCAACCTCCACTCTTCTGGTGGGCAGGAGCTGGGTCACTGTTTGCTGCTCCTGCGGGTAGAAATCTTCTTCCCCAAGTGCTGTCCTTCTCCTTCAGAGGGATTTTCACATGTTTCCTTTCTCGCTGCCTATGAGCAGGAGCACTTCGGTCTCCTGTATGTCAGCACCCAGAGGCAGGTCACTTTTTGGCTTGGTGTCTTCCAGATACACTGAAGGGTGTGTTGGAAGGAGCGTGGTTGAAATACAGGATTGCTCACCTGCCTGCTTGGGCTTGCTTATTCTTGAAATGTCATTATCTGTGTATGTGCCTTAAAAAAACATAAGAATTGCTGTGTTTTCCGAGTGCAAAATAGCTTCAGTAGGAGGCTCGAGAAGGAAGGGATCTGGAAGTGGCTGTCTGTCACATTGCGTTAATAGAATTGATGCTGTAAAACTGCTGCTTGGGAAGGTACCTCTCGGATGTGGGTTCTTGCAGCCCAGTGCAGACCCAAGGCTCCATCCCTGCGCTGCATGCAGGAGTATCTGTAGTGCTGACAGCGCAGCCTCTTCAGCTCCCTAGTACTTACTGCAGTTATTAACCAGGTCTCCTCTTTCCACTGTGAACACAGATCTCGTTGGTAAAACAGAAGCTGCTGAAATGATTTTGGCTGCTAAAGTGGGCTCCTGCCATCCCATGCGCAGCAGCAGCAGTTGTACTGTTTTGGCTTTGCTGTCATCTCTGATACATGGAGGAAAGCTTTAATGTGGTCTCTTCTCCCACTACAATTTGGTCTGTCCTTTCTCTTCCTATTTGCTGGCTGCTTACTGAGCAATAAAATGAGATGGAAAGGTGGCTGTCTGTTTCTGTCAGCTGCTTCATGTTAAAACACTGTTTCCTAATTTTTGCTTTTTAAAGACTTCTAAACTTGTTTATAAACAATAGAAGAATTATGTTTGTGTGGCTTTTATAATTTTTTAAGAGGTGGCCTCATTACTGCTCTGGCAGGACAGCCAGTTACATTTATTAGGAGCTCGGCACAGAACTATTACACAATTCTGCTGCTGTCAAGCTTCATACATGCCTTTCAGTAAACTCATGGGGAAGGCAGGGTGGGGAGTTGCTTCTTTTTTTTGAAGTAGGATTTTCAGAGCAGCAATTTAAGATTTTAATGTTGGCTTCCACTGTATTAAGGAGATAGTGAAATGGTGAAGAATGGCATAGAGACCATAGGGGAGAGCAGGGATGAAATGAACAGTGAGAAAATTGTGTTCCTGCTCTTCGACGTTGTTCCTGTGCTTAAAAAAAAATACTGAGTCCTTTTTTCTTTGTTTCTTGTGTTTCAACAGGGCAGAGTTTAGGGTACGGATTCGTTAACTATATTGATCCAAAGGATGCAGAGAAAGCCATTAATACTTTAAATGGACTCAGACTCCAGACCAAAACCATAAAGGTAAGACAATACAAAATGTCTTTTGTTGAATTCAGGAAGTGGAAAAAGCAGGAAAATGGTTTCTGGTAACTTCATCACTATTTTAATCTCCATTGTAAAGGACACTAAGCTAACAAGCTCCTCCTTGAAACCCTTGGAACAATGAAAGGACATTCAGAAGATGAAGTCTTTCTTCTCTGAAATTGCTGCTGTTGTTAAAGGGAGGAAGGTAGTGAGAAGCTCCTGAAAGCATTGCAGTGAGGCTTAAATGTAGACTAAAACAGCAGTAGTGATACCGTTATCCATAAAGAGGTGAAATACATGGTGGTGTATTCGTAAGTTACACATTTTCTTGTGTTTTAATGGGAAATACCCTGACATGAAGCTCTCCAATAATGACGTGAGTGTCACTAAAAGGTGTTGCAAGTATGTCTTTAAAGTTAGAATGTGTCATTCTCTAAAAAAAAAAATAATTTTTCTCAATTTCCATATCCTTAGTTTGATTTATTTTAAAAGCTGGAGGGATTAGAGATCCACTGAAGTCTCTCATTTCATTGTTGTAATAGACCATTAGTTATTCAACAACCTTCTTTAGTGGTCTCACAAGAAAAGCAAGCCTCTACACTGTCATGTTTTTTGCTGCATGGCTGATAAAGCTTTTTTGAAAGGGCTTATGGAAGATTTCCACATCCTAAATAATACAGCTTATGGAATATGAATCAAAAAATCGAAGGGGAGCAAGCAGCAGATCTGATTCAAATTATCTGAAACTGCTTTGATTGTAATTGAATGCTGGCTTGATTTGTACCATTTTCTTAATTTTTCTTCTGTATTTCAAATCCAGAAATGTTAAAGAATATGAAAATAGAATTTTTAGTTTTTTAAAACAGTAGTACAAATAGTCAGTGATTTCATATCTTGCAAAAAAGATACTGTATGGTCAATAATTTAGTTGCACTTACCCTGTCTCACTAAAGGTTTTGGTTTGGACAAAGTGGTATTCCCTAAGGCGAAAATATTTGTTGCATTCCTGTGCATCTCTAAGGATTGTTTGAAGCAACTTTTTCCCTGATTTGTTTGATTAGTGAAAAGCAGAAGTCCTGAACCTGAGGGTTATGAAAGTGGTGGTGTAGCTGCATGGGTTACACAGGGAAGGCTACTTCCACACCTCCCTTAGACCTAACCAGGTTCTATCCTGTAGGTATGCAAGTGGTCCCTATATCAAAATGCTCGCAGCATGGTTTTGTAGAGTTACGTAGAAAAACTTCCAGCGATATGTAAGGCAAAGCAGCAAAATCTACTGCCTTATCTACTTGCTGCAGGTGGAAATACATGCTCGGACTCAGCAGTTTCCACTTATATTGGAAAGTTGAGCAGTCATTTGCTCTCCAAATTGCTTTTAAAGGCACATGATCAGGAAAAATATAACTCTTTGAAAGTACTAACCTGTCTTCTAAATACTTTTTAAAAAACTCAGTTGAACTGGAAAAACTTAAATCAGTGTTTAATGCAGCGTTTTTATATTTTTGAACATGATTCAGTGTTAGCAAAAGTGCTACATTTCTTGTCCAAAGTACCTGTGCTTTGAGTCTATTTTTGTTTTCTGTAAACCAGAGCAATGCTATTGTATTCATAATATTCCAAGGTTACAGGAGATGTAGAAGTTGCGAAAAGGCCTCCAAAAACTCCAGCCTGACCCAGTTATTGTTTTGCATTTCTCATATGCAAAATTAAATCATTATGCCTACCTTTTTATCATGTGCAGTAAGATTTTTTGCTATCCAGGAACTTCCCGTGCTAAAGCATCTCTGCAGAATGTGTTTTCTTCCGTTTTTTTAATTCAGTATAAATTTTATTAATAAAAGTGGTTTATTAGGTTTAGGGGTTTTGTGCTTATTAATAGCTAGTAGACTTTTATAAAATATATGACATTTTGTTGGGCTTTTGAAAGCTGTTAAAATTTCATAATAAGCAAAGAGATTGACCTAACCTGCATGCACAGGAGCTGCATAAATTCTTCAGTAATTGGGAAGATACATGTAGGGTTTTTTAAATAAAATCATTTTCAAGTAAGCATTCATGTAGTTGCCTAAAACCAACCCAAGGGAGCCTTCTATTCAAATAGCCAAGCTTTGGACACATGGACATCTAATTGGCAGTTTCCAACCCACTTTTTAATTACAGAATCTCATGAGATTACCTCACCTTACCCTCACCTTGGTTTTTTGTGGGTTTAATTATGTTTTGATCTTAGAAATCTCAAATTAGGTCTGCTTCCCTGGTACTGTGTGATGGGGATGGAGGTTTCCCAATGTTCATGCTGAGTGGTGAATCATGTGTTCTTACTGCTACCGGCAGTGCCTGTGTTGCCAGAGACATCTCTAGTTTCCGAAGGGTTGCAAAGCAATGAGAAACTGTACTCAGTGTCACTGAAGTCTCTGAGCTTGCCTGTTGCTGCTCACGTGCCCCTTTCCAGTGTCTCTCTGTTTCATTATAAAGTTGAAGTATCTTAATTTGTGGAATTACTATGTTTAATTATTGGAACTACCTTAGTCTAGCTAGATGCCCTTTACAGTTATTAAAAGCTCATTTTTGGTGCTTTAAAAAAGCCTGCCCCAAAAGAACATGTAGAAAGGAGTTAGGCATATAGTTTTGTAGGCTAAAAAAATTTAATTGAATAATACTGAGCTGGAAAAGTACTGAGCATTACTTTATTCTGTTTTCTTCATGACTGTGTTTGGGTTTTATGCCCCAGAATGAGTCTGTAATGTCCTATTGATGGATAGACTGAACCTTGGCCTCTGCCAGTCTACACTGGGTAGCTGCAGCCCTGCAGGTAGCATTTCTCTGTCTTTCTCTTGTTTGGAAGATGTTTTGATGGAAAGTTGAAATGAATAATCTGTGAAAGCCCTTTTATGGGGCAGATTACTTCTGCTTGCCGAGGTCACCTTGGTCCTGCTGGCTGTGTCCCATCGCCTTGCTCAAACAGATGTGGGCTCTACTGACCCTTGTACCCAGACTGAACATGACCTGGCGGGGG